AATCTGGACTCAGCTGAAGCGTGTGTGTGTGCTTCTGTGGGAGCGCACATTAGAACGGAGTGAAGATGCTGACTCAGTCCATCTACCCTCTGTTCACCAAACACACTCACCAAGTCCTGCCATTTGCAGGCAGGCACCTCGGGAAAGAGGCCTACATCCTGGCAGGGAGCAGGGTGGGAAGGTGTGGGCGTGCCTGGGGGAAGGCCTGTCACGGAGGCGGGGAGCCAGTGCACAGGTAGCTGGGCCAGGCTGTTCCTACAGAGGGAGCAGCTGTGCAAAGGCCCTGAGGTGGCTCCTGGAGCCAGGGACGTGTGGGAGAAGTGTCAGAGCCACACTGGTGAAGGATTTCTGTAACATTGGGAAGCTGTTGGAAGGTTCTTGTTTGTTTTGTTTCATCACCTTTTTAATGAAATATTTCCAGTCTAATCAAAAGTCGAGAGAATTCTGTAGTGAACCCAGGGTGCCCAACCGAGGGGGTCAGAATGGACTGAAGAGCCCCCTCCCTGGCCCCAGTCATGGGCCTGGGGGTCTTGGTGCTGTGGGGGTAAATTGTTTTCCCCCAAAACTTGGTTATGAAAAGTTTCAGACACAGCAAAGCTCCAGGAATTTTGCAGCGAATCAGCCCTGAGAGCCCGGCTCCCTCTCCCAGTCTGTCCCGCAGGAAGGGCTCTTTCTATTTTAAGGTCTGATTTTATTTTTAGAGCGGCTGTGAGGGGCGTGGGAATGGACAGTGACTGTAACGTTTACGTTCCTCCTCGACGAAAGCAGAATAAAATCAGGAACAAAATAGGAAATAGCAATAAAATAAATAAGTACAGAAAATTAAAGTAGGAAGTAAAAGAAAACTATGAAGTCAGGATGTAAGCACAGAGGGAAGCGGGGGAGGCGTGGAGTCCTGGCCCAGCCCTGCCAGGCCCGTGCCAGCCCCGGGGGTCTGCGCGTGGGGGGTCGGCCCGAGAGCTCGCGGTGGCCGCCGGGCTCCGCTCTGAGGGGCCCAAGCCTGCAGCTCCCGAGCCCGCGCCGGCGAGGGGTCCGGCCGCCGTGTCCGTCTAACAGACGAGGAAACCGAGGCCCGCGCAAGTCGCGCTTGTCCCCGGCTGCCGGCCGTGAGCGGAGGCCGACCACGCCGACCGCAACCTCGGGCCAGGCCGCGCGCTGTGGCCCCGGGTCCGCGCAGGGGGGTGGCCGTGCGCCCTGCGGCCGCGGGCTGTCACTGGGAGACCCACGGGCGGCCTGGCCGGAGCGGGGCGTCCAGGCAGGGCCTCCGCGCCGCAGGAGCCCCGGACCTCGGGGTGCGGGCGCTGGCCCGCTGCTCTCACGCCCGAGGTGCCTCCTGGGGAGGCTCCCACGGTCTCAGGAACGCGGTCCAGCAGGGAGTCATGCCACGTGTCCCCACGTCATTTGTTGGCCTCAAAGAATGACACCCAGGCTCTGCGCGGGCCTGAGCCTCACCCCGCTTGGGGGACCCGAGACTCCGGCTGCAGGCCGGGGCCAGGGCCACTGGGAGCGCAAGCTCAGTCCACCTGCCCGGGTCTGTGCGCTGCCTCGCCTGGGGTCTGAGCCCCCCGACCGTGTGCAGGCGCGCCCAGCCGTGTCCTGAAGGGCAGGGTGGGCATGGCGGGCAGGACCGGCAGGGCAGGGGGGCAGGGGCAGGGCAGGGCCAGCAGGGTACGGGGGGAGGGGGGGCCGGGGCAGGGCAGGGCCGGCAGGGGAGGAGGGGCAGGGCAGGCGCAGGGCTGGCAGGGCGGGCAGGGCGCGTGCGTCAGCGGCCGTGGAGAGGTTTCAGCAGCGCTGGCTCCGGCCCAGGCCTCCCACAGCCGCAGGTCTCACAGCCTTAGGCTTCCGCGGGGGCGTGTGGAGAAAAGGGCAGGGGTGAGGCCCAGGGCAATGGGGGCAAGGCAGGGAGTAAGTTTTAGGTGGTTTTGAATCGCTGTCCCCTTGGTGCTAATTTACAAAACTTCTGATGAAAACCTTTCTGAAATGCATTGGTTTTTTTTTTTAAGCTCTTTTTTATTGTGATAAAATACTCATCACATAAAATTTACCATTTGAACCAATTTTAAGTGTACGGCCCTGTGGCGTTAGGCTCATTCACAGTGTTGTGCAAACACCACCATCTGTCTCCAGAACTTTCTCATCCTCCCAAACTGAAAGCTTGTCCCCGTTTTTCCCCAAACTGAAACACTCACCCCCAGCCGCCTCCCCCAGCCCCTGGGACCAACGTCCTACTCTCTGTCTCTATGGCTTGGACTCCTCTAGGTCCTCATGTGAGTGGGATCACAGAGTCCTTTTGTGACTGGCTTATCCCACTGAGCGTAGTGTCCTTGAGGTTCGTCTATATTGTGGCAGGTGTCAGAACTTCCTTTTCAGGGCTGAATCATATTCCACTGCAGGATAGACCACTTTTTGTTCATCCGTCCATCTGTCCATGGCACTTGGGTCGTCCACCTCTGGGCTGTTGTGAATAATGCTGCTGGAACACAGGGGTGCAGACCTGTTCGAGTCTCTGCTTTCAATTCTTCGGGAGAAACGTGTTCCTGAGGACGTAGCGGGCTCCTGCTGGAGTTTGGTGCTGGCGGAACTGCAGCTGGAGCCCCCTGAGGAGCACTGAGACCCCCACCCGCTGTCCAGCCTGCAGCGCCACACATTCACAAGTCTCTCGGCGCATGTGTGATGGGAAATTTTTACTTCCTTTTTGTCTTTCCGTATTTTCTAAGTTTTTCTAAGAAGAACTCGTCATTCATATGGTTTAAAAAAGCCAGAATAGCTTTCAAAAGTGATGGTGTGAGCTGTTTGGGGAGCGTCTGGTTGGCATCTAAGCAAGCAGGGGCAGTGTGTGCTGATCGCCTCCCTGCTCCCAGCTCGGCTTGCCCTGCTGCCCCTCCAGCTGACCCCACCACATCCCGGAACAAGTGGCGCCCACGGCGTCTGCGTCCATCTCTGTGTTCTCAGCTCACAGGGTGGGGACCAGGCCACCTGAGCAAGTAGCGTGCTTTGGAGCCTGCCCCTGGAGCTGGTAGCTTCACTCACCGGCCCTCACTCCTTCCATCTGGCACGGCCAGCGCAGTCAGGCCCTCGTCACTGTGGACACGGCCTCTAGATTCTGCAGCCCCATCTTCCAGCCTGCGCCCCACAAGCAGGTGTGCGCAGCCCAGCGGTTCTGATGCTGCCTCCTGGGGCTTTCAGCATTGTTTGGACTACCTCCCGCTTGTAAAGAGCAACCCCACTGAGCACTGTCGTCTCTCAGGGTGCGGGGACCCCAGGCTGGCCAGGCGCAGCGGGCGGCTCTCACTCAGGGCGTCTGTCGCCAGACGGTGCTGGAGCCGTTTCAAGGGCTCTTCTCTCACGCTCTCCGTCTGGTGGCTGCTGCTGGCCGTCAGCTGGGGCTCCATATGCCGGGGCCCCTAGGCCACATCACTGACAAGACAGTGGAGCCCCTGCCTGCCCGGGGCCTCCGGGGTGCAGGTGACAGCAAGTGGAGGGATGCGGTGGTAGTTTTAGCTGGGGCTCCTGAGGACGGGATGTCTGGGGCAGATGGAGCTGTGTGGTGGGTGGACTCGTGGCCCATCTGCAGGACCATCCCTGTCCATCCCGAGTAGCTGCTGAGCAGTGTAGGGGCTCCAGGGCAGGAACCTCAGCATTCATGCTGCCCTGTCTGCTGGCTGCTTCGGATGGAGCCACTAAATGGTCCACGTCACCCTGGGTGGTGGGGCATTTAATTTCTCTGTACTTGTGCAGTCCCCACACCTCCCCTAGTCCCAGTGTTGGGGCCTTTGATGCTGGGTGGTGGCAGCCTCGGGTGTCGGGGACCCCTGGACCCTGGCTTAGTCCTGCAGCAGGCACAGCTTACCTGGGCCCGGCTCACCTGGGGTTGGCAGGAGCCAGCCTCACTCAGCTTAAGCAACTCAGGGCTCCTAAAGGGAGAGCTGAGTGGCCTGGTAGAGAGAACCAACAATGGCTCTTGGGCTCCCACGTAGTGACATGTCCCCGGCCCCAGCTGTCAGAGTGAGCCCGGAGCCCAGTCCAGGGCTTCAGAGCAGCACGTCTGGTGGGCCCAGCTCCTGAGCGCCGGTTTCCTCCAGGCCAGCGTGGCCAGGGTCAGCCTCGCGTCCCCGTCTGAAACACAGAATGTCACCCACCTTGATGATAGTGACTGAGCGAGTGTGCAAAAGTGCTGGGCACAGCTCCCAGCACATGGGGTGTGTGCGTGGGTACATATGTGCACATGTGTGTATTGTGAAGGCATGTGTGTATATGTCCGTGTGTGTGTGTGTGTGTATGTGCATGTGTGTGTCCCCTCCGAGACCTCCTGTCCCCCTGAGCAGTGTGGAGGGGAGGCTGGAACTGGACTGGGAGACCAGTGCTGAGGTGGGCAAGGCCATGGCTGTATCTCACGGCTTCCTGAACCAGACCAGGGGGTGTTCTCGGCTGTTGGCATCCAGGACCTCCCTCTGCCGGCATCCACTCTCCCTGGAGGACATGTTCGTGCTGAGCCTTGGGCTTTCCTGTCGGTGGAGCCTGGCTCCGCTGCTCTTGCACAAAAGCCCTTGGAAGATGCGATGGCCACGGGTCAGGGCCTGCAGGGGAGGACGCTCCCCTCTCCTCTGGATGGAAGCGCTGCGCAGGCACGGGGCTGCTGCAGCCTTCCCAGGCTATGTGCCTCCACACGCCTCATCAACGTCCCCTCTGTAACGAGAAGGTGAACCAGGAAACTGTCGGCAATGCGCCAAGCTGGCACAACTCAGAGGTGTCACCTTCTAAGAGGTGTAACTGATACACAATTTGTTGTGTGCGTTTAGGGCATAAACGTGATGTTTTGACACATGTGTACCGACCCTGACGCCACCCCACAGTTGTGATGCCAAGCGTGTCTTCATTGCTCAAAGCTTCCTCGTGCCTGTTGTAACTCCCACCCCACCCCTGCCCCTCCTGCCAGGAACCCCGTGCTTTCTGGCACCAGGGATTGGTGAGCATTTCCTAGAATTGTGTGTGAATGAAGAAACAAGGAGGCTCCCTCCGTTTGTCTCCTTTCACTTGGCATAATTATTTCCAGATTCATCCGTGTTGTTGGAAGCAGTCTTTTTCCCTCGATGTTCTGGAAAGGTTCGTGCAGAATTGGTGTCATTTCTTCCTGAAATGTTTATAGAATTCACCAGTGAAGCCAGCCGAGCCTGAGTTTTCCACGTGGAAAGATGTTTAAACACCAACCTGTCTCGTGCTGGGTGTCCACTGAGCTCCTGAGGTCTGTGGATTCACAGTTTTCATCAACTCTGGGAAAACTGGTTTCCTCAGACATTGTCCCATCCACCCTGTCCTTGGACTCCGATTCCACGTACGTGGTGCTGCTTGAGGTTTCCCTTTCACGCACGTTCTCTCTTTGGGGAGGCTCCTGTCGTCTCTCCAGATCCGCTCGCTTTTCTGCCATGGTCAGTCCTTCCGGTGGGTCTTGCTCTCACACTTTGTGGTTTTCTCCCGTAGACGTTGGGTGGGCATCTTTTTGTACTTTCTGTGATTCCAGCCCCTCTTGAACAAGACGGACTGCAGGCCGCCTGGCCGCCTTAATGACCCGCTAAGCCCCGCTTGGCACCAGCTGCAGGTCAGTTTCGACTCTGAGTTTTCCTCCTCTGGCTGCTGTGCGCCTGGCGACCTTTAGTTGGGTGCCCGACGCCGCGACCCTCGCCTCGCTGGGTGCAGATGCGCTGGCTCCTGGAACTGTTCTTGAGCGTTGTTCAGGGATGCGGTTAAGCTGCTTGCAAACAGGTCGGCTTCATGCTAAGATTAGTCAACACTTGTCACGCAGGACTGGGCGGAGCTCACTCTGGGGCTAATTAGCCCCACATCAAGGCAAGATCTCTGACGCCAGGACCGTGGGTTTCCAGTCTGGCTGGTGGGAACAGGCAGGTGTCCTGCCCTGTGTGAGCGCCAGGCAACATTCCCTCTGACCTCTCGGGCCGTGTGGCTTCCCCACAGTGCTCTGAGCTGCCCCATCCTGGCCCCTCCTCAGCTCTCTGCTCTCTCTCTCTCTGCAGCCCCCTCGTGTCCTCCAGGGCCTGCTCCTCCTGGACTCTCCGCCCCATCTCCTCACTCAGGGTCCTCCTGACTCCACTGGGGTCCCCTTCTCCCAGCAGGAAGCTGGGGCGACAGAGGGCTTCCCTCACCTGTGTGACCTCAGGAGCCCCGGGCCGGCTGCCTGGCGTGGGCGTCTCTCCAGCTGTCGTTCCGTCAGGTGTGTCCATGTGTTGGTTGTTTCAGGCGAGATCATAATGCGGCTTCTATCACTCCGTCTTGACCGGAAGCAGGAGCCCTGCGGTGGGGCTGCAGCGGGCTCCACCTGGTGCCAGACACTGCGCTGGCACTGAGGCTAACTGCGTACATGCATTGCATCTGGCATATTTTTACTGTGGTGTTGGGTCTGATTGCTGGAAACTGGAGTTTATCTCCCATGCTATGAGAGGAATGTAGCAAAGCATGTATTTTCTCTTTAGAAATCTTGATATTTTCCCGTTAAGCTCCTTAGGAATTTGGCCGTGGCCAGTGACCAACCCATACCCGGCACTGGTTTGGTGTCGCTTAAGGAGAGGTCCACTCGCAGGAGTTTGGCCACTGGAGAAAGTGAGCCAGATGGTCTCGGGGCGGACTTGGTGTTGGTCCCGGCCTCACCAGCCCTGGGCGCCGGGGGAGGCAGCTGATGCCCCATGTCCCACCGTGCTGCCCAGCCGGCCAAGCGGCAGGCTCTGGACGTCTCTCTGGTCGAGCGTGTGAGACCTGTGCCTTCGCCGGTGGTTCTTTGTTCTGTTCAGTGAGTGAGCGCTGAGTGTGTAAACAAACTGCCGGCAGCTCGGCTGAGTGTGAGGGCAGGGCTGCGCACGCCTGGGGGGTCCGGGAGATGTTGGGGTGTGGCTGGGAAACACGTGTGCAGGCCAGGCCCTCCTCACACTGGGTGGGCTCCACACACTCAAGGGGAGCCCGCCTCCCTGGCTTGGGTGCGCGTGGCTGGGGACGCGCTCGGTCTGTCGAGTTTCAAGCTGGCCCTGGGGCAGCCCCAGGCCTCCTGCGCTGCTCTGGGTACCACCCTGCCCCAGGGCAGGAAGCGGCCTCTGGCCACCCTGCAGGCCTATGACCAGCCCAGGTCCCCCTCACTTTCAGAGGCACACAGCTGCCTGTCCACCCTTTCCCTTTGGAACTGGGCCCTCGCCCCTGCCGTCCGGCCCCAGGGAGGAGCTTGTCATTGTCCCCTCCTGTTGTTTTAGAACCTGCTGAACTGCTCCAACACTGCTGGACCAGATTTTCAGTGACCTCTCAGCCTCACGGCCTGAGCCGGCCAGCCCAGACACCCCGACGCAGCTAGCAGGGAGCCCGACGCCTTCCCGCCTCAGCACCCTCAGCGGAGAGTCTGCTGGCCCAGGTAACCAGCCTGCCCCCAGGGTCAGCGACCCCGGCTCCTGGTCCCCGTTCCTCTCTGCAGCTTCGCTGTGGGTTCAGGAGGAAGGTCTCGAGGAAATCGATCTCCCTCTGGCCCATCCTGCCCTTGAGGCCCCGAGCTGATGCCCGGGCAGTTCTCTGTGCGTGTGGACATGCCCCTGCTCCTCGGGGCCCAGGAGAGGCTGGGGTGGGAGCGGAAGCCGGTCCAGCGCGGGTGGGGAGGACTTTGGGGTGAGACCAGAGTCTCTGGAAGGTGCGTGGCACCTGTGGGGGATCCTGCCTCACCTGGAGCCGCGTCACAGGATGAAAACCACACCATGGACCTGACGTGCTGCGCTCACAACGTGACCGCGGTGACTCTGTTCGGTGACTTAATTCACTGAGCTGAGGGCGTCTTCACGCTACAGGATCCTTTCCCTTCTCTCTCTCTCTCTCTCACCCCTCCCCTCTGTCTCTACTTTCCTTCTTTTTTTTTTATGTAGAATAAATTTATTTTTAAAATAAAATGCTTTCCATTTGTCCTTTCCCAAAAGCCTGTCTGAACAGGCCCCAGTGGAAGGTGACGGGGGGCTCACTTCCACACACAGCACCAGCCCACCTACCCCTGCCACCTTTCTCAGGGGCTGCCCCAGGGGCGGGTCTGGTCCCGCTGGCATTGACTGTGCTCGTTTCTCCCCAACAGGAAGCCTCAGCCAGCCCCCCACGGAGCTTGGGGAGCTTTCAGGATGGAGGCAGATGGGGGGTCCTCGACCCCCCTGGGTGCCGCTGCTGCCCAGGGGGTGCTGGACACTGGGCCTGGCTGCTCCTCCCTGGAGCTGTGCGACACAGCCCCGGGGAAGTTCCGAGCGCTGCCCCTCGGGGACCCTGCCAGTCAGACCGATGCAGGCGCCAGCCCGCCAGACACGGGCCCTGCGGGGGAGCTGAGCAGTAGCACCAAGATCCCCAACCGGGACAGCGGGATCGACAGCCCACCCTGCAGCGTGGCCGGCGAGCACTTCCCCTGTGAGGAGGGCAGTGAGGCGGCCTCCCACCCCCCGGTCCCGGGGCTGCACCCAGAGACGGCCCCGGATGGCAAGGCCCCACCGGAGGAGGCTGAGAGCGACGTGGGCGAGGGCAGTGTCGAGGAGCCTGACCCCAAGGACGGCCCCCCGAGGGCCATCACGGACCCGGCCAAGGTAGGCTGCTCTCCTGCCCTGGGTGGCGGGGCCTCCTGCCTGGGGGCTTGAGGTTTCGGTAGTGTCACCCACACCTGGTGCTGGCAGTCGGGTGCACACCCTGATACTGTGCTCAGAGAGGCCCCTGTGGCAGGTCAGTGGCAGGCCCTGAGGGAGATCATGCAGTGGGGTCCCCAGCACCTCGGGTGACAGACTCACTCCTGAGCCTCAGTTCCCGAGGCCGCACAGTGGACCCCACCCAGGGCGTCCACAGTGGCCTGTCTTAGTGGTGACAGTGCCACCAACGCCCTTCGCTGGTGCTTGCTGCCCACCTTGCGGAACCCCTGTGAGGAAAGCAGTGTGAGTATCACCCCAGTTTATGAGCAGAAAACCCCAGGGTCACCCGCGGACGTGGCAGTGGTGGGAAGGGAGCCCGAGCAGGTCGCCTTGGGAGGAAGCCCGTCTGCGGCGCTTTGGCCTCTTGGGCTCTGGGCTCTGTGCTGCGACTCATGGGGATGCGGATATAAAGCAGACGGCCCCCGGCGTAGAGAGACCGCCTGTGCGCTGGGAGAACGGCCTGGATAAGTTGCACGTGACTGGGTCCCAAGAGAAGCACAGGTGGCATCTGACCAGGGCATCTGACACGGCCAGCGCTGGGAGACAGGACTGTCAGCGAAGGGCGGCTGCGTGCCTGCACTGTTGTGAGCCAGCTTCTGGGGGGCAGGCTGGGGCTGTGTTTTAATCTAGGTGTCATTATTATTCAGGTGCGGTGAGGCCAAGAGATGAGGAGGTGACTGCCTCTGAGACATAGATTGGTACTCAGATCCCAAGAGGAGGGGGCAGTGCCACGCCACAGGGCCACACAGGGAAGCACAGGGTGGGTCAGGAGGCGGAGGGAGAGCAAAGTGTGAGCGAGAGCCTTTCCTGAGGTTTCTGAGGGAAGGAGCAAACGAGGCAGGGTGAGCAGGCCAGTTAGCATCACTTGAGCTGTCTCTGGGCACAGGGGCTGTCCCTGGGCGTCTGCACCCAGCCTGGGTGACTAGGGGGCCAGCGGAATAGCAAATAGAAAGGAGGTGGTTGGGATGAGGGCTCCGGGTGGTTGGTTTGCGTTTGAAAGACCCTCTTGCAGGCAAGTCCTTTCTGTCTCTAGGAATCAGCTAACACTGGGAGGCCCCAATGTCAAAATATCGTAAATACAGAGAATAAATGACGTGGTTAGTATGGCTGTACCTCCTGTGGCTCTCAGGTGTGCTCCAGGGAGAGCTCAGGGGCTGCTCAGTCTCCTAGGTGCGGGGGAAAACGCAGACGGGCCTGGCCCAGTCGTGCCCGCAGAGGCTTGCTGGGGAGCGCCTGGGTCTGTGTCTGCCGACACTCCTGTGGCTGGTGGAACGGCTTGTTTTCTCCGTCACAGAGTGTCTGGTTAGAACGCCCTTCATCACATGCTGGCCCATCCTCGGGATGGAGCGCCGGGACCGTGTGCCTCGCATCCCTGACTCGGGTAGAATGAGGGGGTCTGAGGTGGGGAGGTGGTGCAGGAGTACACACACATCAAGTTGTGTGGGGGAAGTTCCCATCTATTCATAATTTGTTGACAGTTTTAATCATGAAACAGTGTTGAGTCTTATCAAATGCTTTTTCTGTATCAATTAAGACGATCATGTGTGGTTTTTTTCCTTCATTCTATTAGTGTGGTGTATTACTTTGGTTAATTTTCATATATTGACTCATTGGTGCGTTCCAGGAATAAATCTCATGTGGTCATGGGATAATCCTTTTAGTGTGCTGTTGAATTCAAGTTGCTAGTGTTTTTTTGAGGATTTTTGCATCAATATTCATCAGGAATAACGGTCTGTAGTTTTCTTTCCTGTAATGTCTTTGCGGCTTTGGCATCAGTGTAGGTCTGACCTCAAAGAATGAGCCTGGAGGGGTTCTCTCCTCTTCAATTTTTTGGACGCATTTGAGACAGATTGGTGTCAATTTTCCAGTGAAGCCATCTGGTCCTGGACTTTTCTTTGTTGGGAAATTTTTTACTGCTTATTCAATCTCCTTACTTGTTAATGGTCTTTTCAGGTTTTCTGTTTCTTCGTGACTCAGTCTTGGTAGGTTGTGTGTTTCTAGGAATTTATCCATTTCTTCTGGGTTGTCCAGTTTGTTGGTGTAATTGTTCAGAGTAGCCTCTTAACGATCCTTTGCATTCTGTGGTCTCTGCTGTAGTATCTCCTCTTTCAAGTGTCATTTTAGTTATTTGAGTCCTTACTCATCTTTCTTTGTAAGTCTAGATAAAGATTTGTCGATTTTGTTTATCTCTTCAAAAAACAACTCTGAGTTCTGTAGATTTTTTTCCATTGTTTTTCCGTTCTGTTTCATTTATCTCTGCTCTGATCTCTAGTATTTCCTCCTGTCTGACTGCTTTGGGGTGAGTTCTTTCTTTCTTTACTTTCTGGAGGTGTGAAGGTGGGTGTTGATTTGAGACCTTTCTTCCTTTTTCACACTTGCATTCACAGCTATCAGCGTCCCTCTCAGCACTCCTTTTGCTGCATTCCAGAAGTTTTGGTGTGTTGCGTTTTCATTTTCATTGCTCTCAAGCTGTTTTCTGATTTCCTTTGTGAATTCTTTCACTCTTGTTTAGGAGTGTGTTGTTTGATTTCCACCTGTCTCTGGATTTTCCAGTTTTCCTTGTGCTATTGATTTCTAGCTTCATTCTGTTGTAATTGGGAAAGATCCTTTTATGATTTCAGTCTTCTTGAATTTGTTGATGATTTCTTTGTGGCCTAACCTGTGGTCTGTCCTGGAGACTGTTCCATGTGCCCTTGAGAAGAGTGTGTGTCTGCTGCCGTGGGGTCGAGGGCTCTGCGCATGCGTTAGGGCCATTTGGCCTACAGTGCTGTTCACGTCCTCTGTTTCCTTACCGACGTTCTGTCTGTGTGTCCTGTCCAGTCTTGAAAGTGGAGTTTTGAAGTTTCCTCCTCTTGTTGTGTTGCTATCTGTTTCTCTCTTCAGTTCCGTCAAAGTTTGCTTCATGTATTTATGAGCTCCGAGGTTTGGTGCATAAATATTTGTAATTGTTATATCTTCTTCATGAATTGGTCCTTTTATCATTATGTAATATCCTTCTTTGTATCTTGTAGCAGTTTTTTATTTAAAGTCTATTTTGTCTGAAATGAGTATGGCCACTCCTACTCTCTTTTGGTTTCCATTTGCGTGAAATGTCTTTTTCCGTCCTTTCACTTTCAGCCTATGTGTGTCCTTAAATCTGAAATGAGTTTCTTGTGGACAGCATATGGCTGGAAGCTGGTTTTTTATCCATTCAGCCAATCCATGTCTTTTGATTGGGGAATTTAATCTGTTTACATTTAAGTAAACACTGACAGGGAAGGACTTGCTACTGCCCTTTTGTTAATTTTTTTCTATGTCTTGTAGCTTTTGTCCCTCTCTAACTGCCTTACTTTTGTTTCATAGACTTTTGTAATGATATGCTTCAATTCCCTTCTCGTTTTGTTTTGTGTATATTCTATACGTATTTTCTTTATGGTTACCATTGCAATTACATAAAACATCTTAAAGTCGTAGCATTCTTTATTAAACTTATAACAACTTAACTTTGATCACGTATAAAACTGTACTCCTGGGGCTGGCCCGGTGGCACAGCAGTTAAGTTTGCATGTTCCGCTTCGGCAGCCTGGGGTTCACCAGTTCAGATCCCGGGTGTGGACATGGCACTGCTTGGCAAGCCATGCTGTGGTAGGTGTCCCACATATAAAGTAGGGGAAGATTGGCACAGATGTTGGCTCAGGGCCAGTCTTCCTCAGCAAAAAGAGGAGGATTGGCAGCAGATGTTAACTCAGGGCTAATCTTCCTCAAAAAAACAAAAAACAAAAAACTCTACTCCTTTACAGCTCCTTTGGTGTCACAAATTACATATTTATATATTATATACCCATTAACAAAGATTTGTAGTTTTTAAATGTTTTCATCATTTAAATTCTATGTACCAAAATTGCAATAGTGCAGGTTACTATATTAGCCCATGTATTTACCTTTATTGGAAAACCTTATGTTTTGTACAGCTGTACATGGCTGTCCACCATCTTTTCACAACTTGAAGGCCTCCCTTCAACATTTCTGGTATGGCAGATCTAGTGGTAATGAACTCCCTCAGCTTTAGTTTATTTGGGAAAGTCTTAATTTCTTCTTCACTTTTGGAGGACAGCTTTCCTGGATATAGAGTTCTTGGATGACAGTTTTTTCCTCTCAGCACTTTAAATACGTCATCTCACTCCTTTTTTTGGTCATAGTGGGTCTCAGTGTGATTCTTTTTGGGTTTATTCTAGTTGAAATTCTTTGAGCTTCTTGGATTGGTATCTTAATTCCTTTCCTCAGATTTGGGGAGTTTTCAGTCCTTATTTCCTCAGATCAGCTCTCTGTCCTTCTCTCTCTCTTCCCCCTCGAGGACTCCCATAATGCACATGTTGGTCTCCTCGTCAGTGTCCCCTGTGTCCCTTAGGCTCTCTCAGCTTTCCTTCATCCTTTTTTCTCTTTGTTCCTCTGACTCAGTGATTTTGAATGACCTGTCTTCAAGTCTGCTTACTCTTTTTTCTGCCTGGTCAAGTCTGGTGTTAAGCTCCTTTAATGAGGTTTCTAGTTCATTTATTGTATTTTTCAGCTCTAGAATTTTCATTTGGGTCTTTTTTATAGTTTCTATCTCTTGGTTTATAGTCTCATTTTGTTCATGCATGATTTTCTTGATTTTGTTTAGTTGTCTATCTGTGTTCTTTTTTAGCTCATTGAGCATCTACATGACATCTACTTTAAATTCTTTGTCAGGCAACTCATAGATCTGTGGGGTTTTTTGGTGGAGAAGATTGGCCCTGAGCTAACATCTGTTGCCAGTCTTCCTCTATTTTGTATGTGGGTCGCTGCCACAGCATGACCTGATGAGCAGTGTGAAGTGCACACCTGGGATCTGAACCAGTGAACCCTGGGCTGCCGGAGGAGAGTGCAGGAACTTAACCACTATGCCACTGGGTCAGCCCAAGATCTGTGTTTTTTTAGGGTTGGTTTCTGGAATTTTATTCTGTCCTTTGATTGAGCCATGTTTCCCTGTTTCTTTGTAGTTTTTTGCTGGGATTTGGGCGTTTGAAAAACAACCACCTCTCCAGCTCTCCCACTGGCTTTGTGTGGGGGCAGACCTTCAGCAGTTGGCCTGGCTGGAGGGTCTAGGACTTCTGAAATGTTCTCTCATCTCTTGCTGCCCTGGCTTCTGCCTGCACAACATCAGCTCTAACATGCTGCTCACTGCTGTTTTCGGTGGCTGTCAAACTCTGGTGCTGGTCATGACAACCCTCCAAGTCAGGCAAGACAGAGGCTAACCCCTCAGGCAGCCCCCAGACAGGCCAGCACATTGAATGCTCTGTTCACTCTTGGAGCCCCAGTCCGGGGGTTTCCTCCCAGTTGTGCTGTGCTGCGTGGGGCGGGGGACACAAAAGGGCCAGTGCTGCCGATTTTCCTATCCCATTTGCTGGAATCTCTTCTTGGTTTTACAGTGACTTGTGGGCCATAGCTTCTCAGCTGGTCTCTAGAGTTCTCACTGAGGCATTCTGGCCCATATATTGTTAACTCCGTGTCTCTGGGGAGGAGGGCCTGTAGCTTTCCAGTCTGCTGTCTTGCTGACATCACTCCACCAGGTATTTGAATGTGGCTGCTGCAGTCAGAGCCCAGGAGGATGACCGTAGAGTCGTCTCTGGGCTGCAGTAGCTTTGCGGGATTTGCAGAAACTGTTGTCTTTCCCAGAAACCTCCCTGGAAATTCCATCTGTGAGAATGAGCCCCACATCCCAGTCTCGGGGGCCTCCTCTGCCCTCTGGGCCCCGGTCACCCCTGGCTGCAGCTGGTGGCCCTCGGCAGACCCTGCTTCCCGAGGCTCGTCTGCCCGGGGTGAGCTGTGGCTCTTCTCTCCACAGTGCTCTGAGCCCCAGAAGCTGCTTCACATTGCTCAGGAGCTCCTGCACACCGAGGAGACCTACGTGAGGCGGCTGCACCTGCTGGACCAGGTAGCCACATGGCTGGGTCCCACCTCTGTCCACTTCCAGAGTCTCAGTGATGAACTCCCATTGCAGCGTTGGCTAGGCCTTGCAGTTGGAGTATGAATGACTTGAATACTAAAACTGGGACAAATTCACGTCTCCTCCAGAAACTCCTACTTTTTGCTTTCAGAGCCTGGGGCAAACGTCTTGTCCAGTCACCTTGGGGCCTTTCTTCCTGGCAGTTGCACTATCTGAGCATGTAAATGGCCTCTGGACATCTTTCTGCATAAATAGTTGGGACAGTGGGTGTGACCCCCCCCCCCTCCCGTTCACGTGGCTACATGGGGTTTGTGAGCACAGGAAGTAAAGCTGCAATGGAAACCCAGGGTTCTTAAAGCTGTCGCTTCTGTTTGTAGCTCACAAAACAGAGAGGAAATGGGGTCCTTCTGTTTCCCACAAGATGTAGATGGAGGAGAGGTGGCCTATCCCCGTCCAAAGGGCGCTGTCGCTGCCTCACCCCCATCCTTAGCCATAAATAAGCTCTCACCCCCATCCTTAGCCATAAATAAGCTTGTGTTAAGCCCATAAGGTTGTTTGAGCCAGTCTGATGAGTGGGCATTTCACTAAGAAAGCAGGAGGTGTGGGGGCCTCTCCTCAGCCCCCACACTCACAGCAGAAGCACCATCATAACCGTCCCCCATGACCCACACTCCGTGACCGTGTGTGGGCTTCTCTGTGCCCAGGTTTTCTGCACCCGGCTGACGGAAGCGGGGATCCCTCCAGAAGTCACCACAGGGATCTTCTCTAACATCTCCTCCATCTATTGCTTCCATGGGCAGTTCCTCCTGCCTGAGCTGCAGACGCGGATCACGGAGGAGTGGTGAGTGTGGCTCGTGGCTCCTGGCTCCTGGGAAGTGGGGGGCCAGTGTCTCCAGGGGAGTTTTGTTCCAACCCCTTTGGCCACTGAGGGTCCTGGTGATTCTGTCAGGGTAGTTTTGTTGAATTTTCAGTGCCAAGTGGCCTCTAAGTCTGGGGTTCGCATGCCTGAGAGGCAGGCAGGCACTGAGTGCTGTCTCAGGTGCCCGGCCCTGCCCTCACAGTTTCTCAGTGTCTCCAAGCCCTAGCTTCTTCATCTGCAAATCAAAGGGACTTGAGCACCTGCTCAGAGGCTCAGGGTTTATGGGGTTTCCACTGAGGTTTGACGATCTGCAAACACGAACCAGAGGAGAAAGCGAGCTGGTCGGGTTCTTTTCCTCCCAGTGTACACTCCACCTACGCTTTAAAACGTGAGAGCCCCTCAACAGTGCGCCTAGGTCCTCCCACTGCCCCTGCGGCTGTCCTGTCCCTCTGCCGCTTCTGTTCATCCTTAGCAGAGGGACAGTTTGGCGGTAGCAAGTTAAGATAATAAGACGTCCTGGGTGGGCCCCGACTCCCGTTCTCGCGTGCCTGCTTCCTCCCATCCAGGTGCTGCTGCAGCCTCGCTCTGGCAGCCCTGCTGTGTCCAGGCTTCACGGGCCTGGCTTGAGCCAGCACGCGGCTCTCCTGTGGCATTGGGGGCATCAGAAGCTGGGCCCCCTGGGGTCCCGAGGAGCTCGTTCCCTGGCTGAGGCTGGGCCAGGGACACCGCAGAGGCCAGGGCTCGACTGGGGGTCTCTCTTCACCAGTGAGGCCCAGCGAGGGTCCGGGTCAATTTGTAAATCTTCAGGAGGACACGCTCTGCCTGCAGGGCAGGCTGCACTGTGGGTTAAGGCTCAGGGCTGGACTGGCCTTCTGGCTAATAGTCCTCACCTGCTAGAAGCGGGCTTTCTCCTCCAGGCCCTGGAGGGGACATCAGCACACAGATGCTTGTGCGGCTCCTTGTACCATAAGTGATGATTCTTTAGTCAAATCGCACACAGTCTGAGGTCACTGACTTGATGCGTTTATGCTTCTTGAATCTTACTTCCAAATCCCTGTGCAAACTGCCGTCAGCGCACGCGTGCTGCCTTCCCGTGGCGTGGCCAGCGTGGGATGCCCCACTGCTCCTGATCTTGGCTCCCCGAAAAGGAGTAAATGGGGTTTTGCTGATTCTCTTTGACAACTGTGCCCTCATTAGCATGGTCCCGTTACCGCTAGTCCCCTGGTCTTGAGCAGGGGTTCTGTGCCTGCACCTCGAAGGGCTGTGCACGATCTTCTCGTTCCCTCCAGGTAACACGATGCTCCACCCACGTGATACGGGGAGGGCACTCAGGCTCAGGGGAGGGTGACCAGTCTGCCCACCAGCACACGGAGCTGGGAGTCGGGCTGTGGCCCCGTAACCCCCTAGTGAAGTCCCCATCGCACCCTGACCCCTCACCCGAGCTAGTTCTCTGATTATCTCACTCCCCTATGAAGGGACTCAAACCCCCGGCTTGGGGACATCCTGCAGAAGCTGGCCCCATTCCTCAAGATGTATGGCGAGTACATCAAGAACTTCGACCGGGCCATGGAGCTGGTGAGCACCTGGACCCAGCGCTCACTGCTGTTCAAAGACATCGTCCACAGCATCCAGGTAGGGCAGCCCTGCCACGGCCTCAGGGGCAAGGCGCTAGGTTCATGTTCAACATGGAGAAAGTCAGGGACATTGTGGGATGTGTCCGGATGCCCTATTGATGTTTTGATCCTTAAAATAACTCCCAGAGACAGATCATTCTATTTCACAGATGGGAGAGTCATGGCTCAAAGAGGTTGCGCCATCTGTGCCATCATGAACTGCCATATGATAGAACCTAGATCCAGATGCCGGCCTCTCCCTCCCCAGTGTCCCTCAGTGGCCGGTGCAGGCACTCCGGACAATGTCACATTCGTCTTTTCTTTCTCTTTTTCTGCAAACAGCTTGCTGTTGTCTCCTGCCACGGTGGTCTCTTTCTTATTGATTAACCAGGTTTTTATATCTTAAGAATGTCAGCTGTTTTCTGTCATACATGTTACAAATTATTTTTCCCCATTGATCTTGAATTTTTAACTTTATTTATGATGTTCTTTGCCATACAAAACTTTTGGTTTTTAAGTGGGCACATTCACCAATTTTTAAATGAAGTAATGCTTTAAAAAAAAATCTTCAAAATAATGTTTATACATGCATTTCCCACTCCATGATTATGTAAATTATGTTTTCTTCTAATGTTATGACTTCATTTTAAAAATTAAAAATGCTATCCCAGAATAGTTTCCAGATGGATTGTGGTATGAGGTAAAACCCAGTTTTATTTTTGTGAATAGTTAGCTGCTTGTCCCAACATCCTATTGACCCCGGGCACCATGCACACACACACACATGCACACACATGCTTGCCCACGTGCACACACACGTGCACGTGCACATACATGCATAGAGTCAGCCCTCTGCATCCGCATCCGTGGGTTCTGCATCCGGGGATTCAGCCAGCCATGGATTGAAAGGCCTGCAAGGGTTGCATCTGTACAGACTTTTTTTTTTTTTTTCTTGTCATTGTTCTCTCAACAATGCAGTGTAACAGCTATTTACATAGCATTTACATTGTTAGGTATTATAAGTAATCTAGAGATGATTTAAAGTATTCGGCAGGGTGTGTGTGGGTTTTATGCAAATGCCACGCCGTTTTCTATGTTGGGACTTGAGCGTCCACAGATTGTGGTGTCCACGGGGGTTCTGGCACCAATCCCTGCGGACATGGAGGGACGACTGTACGTTCACATGTGAAATACAGACACGTGTGCATACCTGCATCTGTACACACGCACGCACATCCCTCACTGTAACCTGGAGGGCTAATGGGCACTGGGCCCGCTGTGCTGAGAGTTGGAGGCCAGGCCCGGGTTTGGGGTGGCCCCTCGACAATTTTCTGCATTTTCCCCAGACCCTGCTGTCGTCAGGTCCCCCATGATTTCCTAGTGTGGGGTCGCAGGTTCCCCTGGTCCCTCGGCGTCCCGTCCCCCCAAGAGGGGACAGTTCTGACGCTGAGTCCTCCCTCCGTCCCACACCCCACCCCTCACTCACGTCTGGGCCCCCGGCTGTCCCCACCGAACGCTCTCCTGAGCCTCCTAGCTGTGCCTCAGCTGACCCACAGCCCTGAGTGCCAGGCAGGACTGGGCGCTCAAGCCGCCTGAGTCTGCGGGGGCTGGGGTGGGGGTGGGGCAGAGGGTCACCGAGCAGGCGTCTGGGAAGGAGGGTTAGCCAGGCTTCTGCACTCCTGCCGGGGGAACCAACTGAGAACAAAGCCCTGTTTTCGGAGTTACAGCAGGGTTCCTTCTCCAGGAAGCGTGTGCCCCATACCATCTTAATAAGTTTCCTGTGGGGAGGTACTGTCAGCTCATGTAAACACCCTCTACCTCGTGGTCCTTTGATGATACTCGCCCCCAACGCTAGTTTTTATGACATGCTCTTCCAGCCTGTTGTGTCTAAGGCCCATCTGAGCTGGAGGCCGCTCTGTCGGGGCCCTGAGCCTGCGAGGGTGGCAAGTGGGTGGGGACGTGGCTGGCTAGTGCTGCAACCTGAACGATGCAGCGACCTCCCAGGCCAGCGCAGGGGGCGGCTGACAGCCTTCAGCATGCGTGGTCTGGGGTCTGCACAGGGGTCTGTGCTTCAGGAAGAGGGTGGGGAGCCCGTCGTGGTGCTGGGCAGGAGCCAGCTGCCAGAGCCCCAGCACCCCCCACAAACACTCCATGCGGCATTTAGAAGGGAGGAACCGACAGCCCTTAGTGGCTTCCGGGCCTGCCCCTAGGAGAGCTGGGAAGGCAAGTGGGGCAGTCACCCCAAGGAGGGGGCAGCCTGTCCGAACACTGATCTGCAGCGAGGCCCGGTGGGAAGGAGCCAGTGCTGGGCCTAGAGCAGGCTCACACGGGGTCTGGGGTCTGCTCCATTGTTCAGCCGCTTCAAGCCTCAGTTTCCCCTACTATAAATGTGGTCTTCAGTCAGCTGGGTGCAGGTGCTCCGGGCACACTCCTGGGGGCTGTGGTGGCCAGAGGGAGAGGTGGGGCCCAGGGTCCGCGTGTGCCCTTGGGTGCCCCACGGCCCCTCTGTGTCCCCACAGAAGGAGGAGGTGTGTGGGAACCTGACGCTGCAGCACCACATGCTGGAGCCCGTGCAGAGGATCCCCCGCTACGAGCTGCTGCTCAAGGACTATCTGAAGAGGCTCCCAGGGGACGCCCCCGACCGCAAGGATGCAGAGAGTGAGCCGGCCGGCCGCCAGGCCCAGGGGCTCCTGGGCAGTGGGAGCTGGGTCCATGCTGAAAAGCCACATCAAGAGAGAGACAGGGACAGAGACAGAGAGAGACAGAGGCAGAGGCAGAGACAGAGAGGGGCGGGGACAGAGGAGGTAGAGAGCTCCAAACGCCCCCCCGAACACGTCTTGGGAAGTGACTGAGAGCCTCTGAGGGCAGAGGAGAACAGGCCCCGCCCCCACTGCAGTGTGAGGCATGGACGCTGGTTCCCAGAGGGGTCTGCTGGGTGCGGGCAGAGCTTAGGAAGGGCCCCAGCAGGGGGCGGGAGCTGCTCTTGGTACAGGGGCTGCAGCCAGCAGCCAGCACTGGGAGGGGTCTGTGCAAGGGATTGGGGTGCCAACCCCAGCAGGCCCCCAGCAAATGGGGTGTGGGCAGGATCACACCCCCTAAGCCTGGTGAGCAGCCCCGGACGCTGAGAGAAAGGGCGGGAGCAGGGCAGCTCCGGGCGCAGGGCCTCAAGTGGCCAGGACCTGTGTGGAGCCACCGACAGCCCCGCAGCCTGACTTTGCCCTCCTCCTGCAGGGTCCTTGGAGCTCATCTCCACAGCCGCCAACCACTCCAACGCCGCCATTCGGAAAATGGTGAGTGTGGGGCTCCTGGAGGATGCCACTGGGCCGAAGTGCGGTGCAGGGAGGGCGCAGAGCGCTGGGCGCCTTGGCATGCACACTTACCCCCTTGTCCCTGGTGGACAGGGGCTCGTGGGGAGCTAGACAGGCCCGCCCCTCACTAGCTTGGCGGTGGTGAGTGAGTTACTTAGGACTCCATTTCCCCACCTGCCAAGCGAGGTCACTGACAGAACCTGTCCCCTTGGGCTGCTGTGGGGATTCCATCACTCTAACAAAAGCCAGGACAGGAGCCGGCGCAGCAAGGGTTAGCTCTCAGTATTCCCATCATTCGTTCATTCCTTCATCAAGCTGTCTTAGCTGGGGCTGCCATAATGAGCTACCACAGACACTTGGCTTCAACAGGACATTGATTTCTCAGTTCTGGAGGCTGAAAGTCCGAGATCAAGGTGCCAGCCGGTTCGGTTCCTGGCTTGCAGGGGCCACCTTCTGGCCGTGTCCTCCCGTGGCAGAGGAGAGCAAGCTCCCCGGTGTCTCTCCCATGAGGTCCTAATCCCATTGTGGGGACCCCGCCCTGGTGTCCGTGACCTCTTCTGAACTTCATCACCTTCCAAAGGCTCCACCTCCAAATACAGCCCGAAGGCCGAGGAGACAGCGTCCCCTTGTTGATCGAACATCTCCTGTAATGGGGTCTGTGGAGCATCCTCTTGTTGATCGAACACCTCCTGTAATGGGGTCTGTGGATTGGGGAGGTGTCCCTGAGCCCAGGCTGATGCCCTGTGATGCAGGTGGCCTTGTCCTCATGGGGCCATGTTTGGCCCAACACTGCTCAGGGCGGGGTGTAAGAGTTTCTAAGTCCTTGCCCAGAATTACAGATCAGGGCATTTCACAGGAGAATCCAAATTCCTGGCTTTACTGGAAAACTGCAGAAGCCCCAGGCCCGCACTGCAACCTGTGGCTTTGTTGGGGTGAGGCTGGCATCCCCCAGCAGGCCAGCTCTCCAGGTGCTGCAGTCCCCACCCAGCCCTGGTACTCCCAATCTTGAGACCTGTTTATCTTCACACAAGCACTGTTGTTTTGGGAGGAAAAGAAAGTGAAATATTTCTTTGATCCTACATCTCTCAAAAGTGAGACATGAGAGGCAGCACGTGTGTCCTGTGTCCTTGTTACCAGCTTGTCCCTGGATTTGGGTCTGGGGTCCCCGGACCAGATGGGCCTGCGGTTGGGCCCACAGTAGGGCATCCACATTTCACTCTGGGTCCTTTTTATTTAATTTCCCTTTTTTCCTCCCCAAGACTAATCTAACGGAGGAGAAAGAGCTGCTCTTTCTGTCTCTGAGCTCACATGGAGCCCATGGACATTTGGGGGAGCCCCCACAGGCCTACATCTCTGAGGGGCATGGATGAGGCCTGGGTGGACTCCGGTCCCACTCATAGCGTGCCCGCCGCATGGCAGTTCTCTCCCCAAGTCTGGTGAGGCCTCTGCCCACCGGGTGTGACAGGCAGGGGACTCTGGTGTGGGCGAGGTCTGACCCCTAAAATTATCAGTATGTGCTCATGGGAGTCTGCTCATACTTCCACCTGCCCCAGCCCCCAACCTGGACCACCACTCCAGCTTCCTCAGCTTCTGATCCACCTCCTCTGCTTGGAGCTCCCTGTGGGCACCAACCTGTTGGTGTTGGAAGCCAGAGGGAGATGACCTGCGGACTGGCAGAGGTCCGGGCTCATGATGGCGCTGGGCCACGTGGTCTGAGGGTGGAGCCGGAACCAGGCAAGGCCAACACAGGAGGTGTGGCCTCCAGGGTGAGCTGAGCTGCCCGAGGTGTCCTCTCTGACCCGATGCCCTTTGCTGCCGTAGAAGGGAGCCCTAGAAGGAGCTGCGTGCAGCGCGGAGGCTGAGGAACAAGCCCAGTTCTCCAGACAAAACTCCTCCAGCAGCTCACTGACTTTTCTGTGCCTGTTTCCTTGTTTGTCACCCAGGGAGAATAATGGCACCCACCTCTTTGGGTTGGTGCTGGAATTAAATGAGTTAATACCTGTATTGTGTACAGGACAGGGCCTGGCACATAGCAACGGTGTTGGCTGTTGCTGTTCCTCTTTATTGTTCTCTGCATGGTGAATGTCTTTTCATCCTTCAATGCCCAAACTGAATGTCATCTCATGTGTTCCTCCGACCCTGTTGTCAGCAGGCTCCATCTTGGTTCTGGACCACGCATGCAGCGCAGGGCTCAGCTCACCTCTAGGTCCCCAGCAGCCCCTCACAGGCCTCTGGTCCCTGTGCCGCGCAGCTGCCAGACCCCTGTGTCTCTTGCAGGAGAAGATGCACAAGCTCTTGGAAGTGTATGAGCGCCTGGGGGGTGAGGAAGACATCGTCAACCCGGCCAACGAGCTGATCAAGGAGGGCCAGATCCAGAAGCTGTCCGCCAAGAACGGCACCGCCCAGGACCGCCACCTCTTCCTGGTGAGCCCCTTCGGCCACACTGGGGCCAGAGGCGGAGCCCAACAATGACCCGCCCCCCCCCCCCCCCCCCCGCCCAAGAACGGCACCGCCCAGGACCGCCACCTCTTCCTGGTGAACCCCTTCGGCCACACTGGGGCCAGAGGCGGAGCCCAACAATGACCCCGCCCCCGCCCCCGCTACAGAAACACGCCCCCAGCCCATCCTGAGAGCCCCCGGCCCCACCCAGCTCAGCCACGCCCACCTCGGAGCCCCGCCCCGCCCCCTACAGAGCCACGCCCCTCCCAGCCCATCCTCGGAGCCTGCCCCACCTGGCTCAGCCAGGCCCACCTCCGAGCCCCGCCCCACCGAGCCACGCCCCTTCCAGCCCATCCTCAGAGCCGGCCCCCACCCGGCCACGCCCAGCCGCAGAGTCCCACCCGATCCAGCCCTCCTGGTCCCCGAGCCCTGCCCCGCCTGCTCCCTGGGGCGCCCGTTCTTTGGGATGGCCCACTCCTCACCATGCCCATCCCTACCACAGTTCAACAGCATGATCCTTTACTGTGTGCCCAAACTGCGGCTCATGGGCCAGAAGTTCAGTGTCCGGGAGAAGATGGACATTTCGGGCCTCCAGGTGGGTGAACCCCCTCCTTCCCTACCTGGTCTTCTAGTAGGGCACTGAGCAGGGGCAAACCCCCGGTTCTGGCCCCTTGCACTCACAGCAGTGTACCTGGCTGCCTGCCCTTCTCTGAGCCTGTGCTCTGTCGGTGACCCCAGTGTGGCCAGATATCTCAGAAGGCACCTGGGTCCTGGCACCCTGGGCCAGGGGGCAGGCTGCCCCAGCTCTCTGCTTGGCCCACCTGCCAGGGTGCTGCCAGCCTCGTGCTCACAGGAGGAAGGACAGTGCCAGGACCTGGGCTGAGCCCTGTCCCCTGTGAACTCAGCACTCAGGGCTCCATTTACAGACCCGAGGGTGAAGCTCGCAGGAATGCAGACGGGGTGCCCGCCCTGCCTGGTCCCCAGCACCCAGTCCTGGGCTTTCTCCTTTCCTGCACCACCTCGGAGCCTGGTCAAGGCTCTGTAGGTCTGTGCCTGAGGTCCAGACCACCCTGTTGTCCTTGCTGTCCCCATTCCCTGAGCCCACCCGTGTCTTCTGGCTTGGGGGCCGGGAGCTGGAATCAGTCCCCCTCTCCCGTGGGGAAGGACTTTGATTTAACAGGTGTTCCCAAAATACTGGCTAATCAAGGTATTTAATCAGTTCTAAAGAGTGAAGGTTTGCCTTAGTGATACAAAAATTCCGTCTTACCTTGAAATTCCCTGAATCTAGGTTTAAGAAACATCGTTAAAAGCAATGACTAACTAGACAAAAAATTCTTTTTTCCATAGTTAGAGGAAACCATCTTTCTAGTGTTTCTCTGTAAGAAATCAGTTGTATTTAATCAATTGGACATGTTAACACAGAAGTTCTCGACTCTGGGGCCTTGGGGAAAGTCCTGCTGCGAGGCTCAGCCCGAGATTCTGGGTGGCCCTACAGCTCCGTCAGTGGTTCTGATGGCAACTGGCCTGAGAGCTGCTGGGAGCCGCCACGCCTGCCACGTGCCCTGTGATTCTGTCCAGCGACAGTGGGTGGGGGTCTGTGAAGAAATCACCCTGTTGCATCCGTTATCCTATTTATCATCTCTAAACTCAGGGCATGGGGTGCGTCCTCGTCACCTGCCCAGCACAGCCCTTCCTCTCTTGGGACAGCCAAAGGCCGTGGGGGTGGGGCATGGGGTGATGAGGGTGCTCCCCTTCTCAGGGGCTGGCGGCTGCGAGGCGCCTGCCCACAGGGGCTCAGAAACGCCTCAAGTGGTGGAGATCCTCCTGGCTCTTCTCCTAGGACTCCCATCCCTCAGTCAGGGGGCGCACGTGCCTGTGGGCACCTTGCTGGGCAAAGCCTCTGCCTGTCCAGGGACTGGTGGCCGACTTCCTGGGAAGCCTGAGGGCAGGTGGGTTTGGTCTCAAAGTTCCACGTGGCAGATGGGCAGTCCTACCCTCCCTGGGCAGGACAGTGGTCCACCCTTCCCCACTGACCAGCTCACGAAGTCGCCAACCTGCTGGGTCACCTCTGCCCTACTCAGGCGAGACCTCCAGGTCTGAGAGCGTGAGGCCTCACGTGGGTCAGGACTGCTAAGTGACCAGCTGTTTTTGTTTGGTCCTTGGTCGTGTGCCTTTAGGTGCAGGATGTCGTCAAGCCAAATGCAGTACACACATTCATCATCACGGGGAAGAGAAGGTCCCTGGAGCTGCTGACCCGGTACGCGCTGGCTCCCTGTCCACTGCTGCACGGGCGTCTCAGACCTGGAATTTTAGCACGTGGCTGTCTTTTCTAAACTGGATAACTTTGCGATGTGTTTTTAGTTTTCCTTTCATTCACTTATTTGTGGTTTCCAAACATAAATGTACCAAAGGGAAGTCGATGAAAATTAAGCCTCTGCCCACCCCTGTTCTCTGCCCCAGTGGACACTTTTAACAGTCTCTGAAGTGTCCTTCCAGAATTTCTAGGCTCATACATGGGTGTCTATGTCACAGATGGCTGTTTACCATACAGCCTGTTCTGCATCTTGCGCTTTTCACCTAATTTATCAGGAATCATCCCATATTTGAGCGTCATTTTCTGAAGCAGCATAATTCTCCTTTGTGATCCTTCACCAGCTCCCATTGACAGGCACCTATTCCCCTCTGGGGTCTTGCTATTACAAATGGTGCTGCATGCAGCATACTCAAACCAGCTCTCGCGCATATGTGTCGTTGTAACCGTCAGATGGATCCCTTTGAGCAGCATGTCTGCTTTAAATCTTGGTGGCTCTTGTCACACTACCCTGTAAGGCAGTGACAGGCTTGTACTCTGCGTGCAAGACCCCGTCTCTCACTTCTGCCAGGGATGTGAGATCTTTGTAGTGACCCATTGTGGTCCAGGGAAGTGTTTTTCCTCCACTGCTGAGGGCTCTACACCACACCTGACCCCACCTGGCTGTACCTGAGCCCACCTGGCCACACCTGGCCACCATGTTCCAGAGCCCTCGGGGCCAGTCTTCCAGCCTTGACCTGCACTTCAGGGCAGTGAGCGGCTCAGGCACATGCTGCAGGACTGAAAGGAATCTGGCGGTTTACCAGCAGTGTCCAGATTAGACTAGATTAATAAAATACTGTTTTTGCTTTTATAGGACAGAAGAGGAGAAGAAAGAATGGATTCAGGTGAAACTGCTAAAGTTTTAAAGTAACCAAATGACCAACTTCTTGGGCAGTATGGCCGTTTCATGTTGGAGTAGGGATGGGTGGCCCCATGACCCCAAGACACCCATCTGTCTGCCTTGGAGGGGTGGAGTGGCCTGTTCATAAGCACCTTCAGACACCACAAGCCTTTCAGTCTACTCGCCTGTTTGGGGCCCCAGTAAATAAGTAAACATAGAGGGGCCTGGAGAGGTGGCATGTGGGGAGGTGCCCCCACCCTGGGCCAGATCTCCACTGGCTGGCGGCCTCCAAGGGGAGCCCACTTCGCCCTCTCTCCGCGGTGGGTCGTAGGGGAGAGGACGAGCAGTCTGACGTGCAGGACGGAGCCTGTGCTTCCAGAGACAGGCCGGGCAGGGAGGCGGGCAGCGTCCTGGGGCAGCCAGAGCAGACTTGGCTCAGGACGGGCCATGGTGGGGACGCCAGGGACAGAGACAAGCCTGTGAGGGCCAAGTCAGGGGGGCGGTGGCAGAGCAGGGGACAGCTGTAGGGAACAGCTGCCGCCAGCCCAAACGTCGACCAGGAGGGACTCAGCTTGCAGAAGCCCTACGACAGAAGGGATGAGGCGGGAACGCTGACACAGGGATGGAGACCGTCCTGGAGTCTGAGTAGAGCATTTCCGGGAAGCGTGCGCCCGCGGCCTGCAGCACTGTGGGGGACCCGCCACGTGTGGGGAGGCACGGGCCTGTGGGGCTGGGGTGTGCGAGGTTGCTGGTCGGGGAAACGTGGTGACCACGGGACCCCATCCCACCCCTGGGACATGCTCTCTGAGGGCCTGTGCTCTTCGGGGTTTCTTCTCAGGTCATTGAGGCCACCATCGAGAAGCACAAGCAGAACAGCCAGACCTTCAAGGCCTTCAGCGGCTCCGGCGGCCAGGATGAGGACCCCTCCCTCACTCCAGACCCAGCGGTGAGCGCCACACCCCTGGGGGAGTGGGAGGGACCTCCTGCCTGCTGACAAGGGGGACGTGGCTGCGGGGAACTGGTGCCCACTGTGGAGGCCCAGGCCTGTGGCACAAGGGCTGGTGTCTGGGAGGGGAGCTGGTCCCCCAGCACTCCTGGTGACAAGGACCAGGGGCTGGTGGACGGGCGATGTGCGCTCACTGCCCACCCTTTCCTGAGAGCCCCTGGGGGACGGCTGGATGGTTGGCTGGGCTGTCGGCACTCACTCCCCACGTGGAGCGGCCCCGGGGCCTGGGGGAGCAAGGAGCAGGGTCCCCACTCAGGGCCTGGCCGGGGAGGTCAGGGCTGCAGCTGCCCCGGGGATGCTGGCCTGGGCTGCGGCCACCTCCTCCGTCTTGGCACGACCACGTGCGGCTTCAGAGTGAGGGTCCCTCACTCCCTGCCTCCCATCAGGGGCATCCCAGAGGCGGAGGGGCCCAGCCCAGCCCCCCAGCAGCCCCGAGTCCCAGACGCCAGGCCTGGCTGGCCCTCCCTGCGGCCTCACTAGGTCTGCAGCCCGCATGCCACCTCGTTATCCACTTAATACTTGAGTCAGATCTACTCGCTTTTTTCTGCTTTCCGGACTATTCTGGAAGAAAACTTGCATCACTCCTGGGCAGGGAAACTACTGTGCCCTGTCTGGAGTGGAGGGGACTGGGAACCCCTCATCCTGCCGCAAAGGCGCTGAGGGGGAGCCTGACTGTGGCAGGGGTGCAGGGCTCTCCACGAGGATGCCGAGAGTGAGCGAGACCCAGGGCCACCTCACCAGGGGTGTGGTGTAGGCGGCTGGGCCTGTGGACCGCCAGGAGCTTCCCACCTGCCTGCCCCCGAGCTGGGGCACGATGACCCTCCGGAGAGGCCCTCAGTGACGAGGGAGGAGCGACTCCCGAAGTCACAGCGAGCACTGGGCCCCGTGGTCTCCCGCGACCTTGGTCAGACAGAAGTGCAGGGTGTTCCCCGCGGTCAGTGCTGCACTGGACTCAGAGTGTGGCTGGGGAACCTCCCCTCACCCGGCTGCCTCTGTTCCTTCCAGACGCTGAGCGCCAGCTCCGGGGAGCCCGCCGCTGCCGATGGTGGAGGGGGTGCAGCGGTGAGTGACCCCAGATCTCGGCAGGGTCGGGAGGTGGAGAATGGGCTCAGACACCTGAGGCTGGGGTCAGACCAGGGTCACCTGAGGGGAGGCCCCGTGGTCAGCCCTCCCGGTGTGTCTGCATCCCCTTAGTGATGTCCTCCGGGCCTGTGTGGAGGGCTCTGCAGAGCCCATGGGACCTGCATGTCCATTTCCTCGGGTGGGTGGGGGTCACACAGCGAGTTCTGGAGATCGGAGTAGATGGAATATGCTGGGATAAATGTGAATCGAGGCGCTGCCCAGCAGTTAGGAGACTCAGTACCCCAGAGAGGGAAGGTCAGCCCATGGACTGGGTGTCGGCTGGGCAGGCAGGGGCCCTGCTGGGAGGGCTTGCAGGGGTGCTATCAGAGAAGGCTCTTCAGAGCGGCGACTGACGCAAGAGTGTGGCGGAGGGTCTCAACGCAGGCCCAGGTGGGCGGGCCCAGGGAGGCCGTGCGCTGAGGCCCTCACCCCCAGCCTACGCGGCTGTCTCCCCTGGGCAGTGCAGGTGGGAAGGGATGTGGACACATCCCCCATGCCGGGGCCAGGCTGGGGCACACAAGCGTGCACATCGTCGGTGGTTTGGAGATTAGGCAGGAGGCGAGGGGGTGCCTGGCACGGCCAGCGCCCTACAGTGCGCGTTGTCACTAACCCGGGGCCCCACTTGGCGGCCGTTAAGACTCTGGACCGCCCTTCTCCCGCCTGGGGCATGTGGCTGGAGGCCTGGCCCAGCCCAGCCCTTCCTGCGTGGGACCACTCCCCAGGCGACGTGTCCCCCCATTCTCTCCTCCGTGTCTGCCTCCCATTCTCGCCACCACCCCCCACCCCAGGGAAGGTGCTCCCAGGTGGACGGGTGTAGACCAGCTGAGTCGCCTGAGTTTAACACCAGTACCTAGAGCTTCTCCTTTTCTGGCTCCAAGCCCACCATTAGGTTCTGGCAGCCGTTCTGGGTTGGAAGTCATCATGGTCAACCCCGTTTCAGGAAGAAGAAACGGGCTTGATGGGCACAGGGCCTGGCTGTCTGGCTCAAGACCCCGCAGCTTGGGGCACACATGGGGCAGCAGCGGAGGCGGGCCAGCAGTCTAGCTGCCCGGGGAGGAAGCACCGCTGTCTCAAAGTGGGTTTTTAGTAAGGAAGCGTTAGTGCCCCTCCTGTACCCTCCATGTTTCCCACGTGAATAAGCCCAGCAGCTGCTCTCTGACTCGCTAAACGTCAGTGCAAGGCTGGTGGTGCTCCACTGGGCTCCTTTCTGAAAGGTCTAGGAACGTTGTGAAAAGCAGCTTTCACGCTCGTGTGTCATGCATTTGACTGCCAGCAGCAGAACCACACATGGGGCCTCACACACATGTGTGTGAGGAGCTCCCTGATCAGCTTCGGGGAGCCAAGCTGGACCCCCTCTCAGGATCCTCGCCATCCATCCCCCGGCCCTGGGCCAGGCCCTGAGGCATCCAGGATGGTGATCCAGGCCGCCTCGCACCCCGCTGTTCTTTGTGGGGTACACTCTCCTTGGGGCGAGTCCACAGGCGGCTGGAAACGCGGCCCAGGCCCCCATGCAGGGAAGTGGGAGTGGCTGTAGGCCACGTGGTCAGGAAGGCCGGCCAGGGAGGACCCCACTCCGAGGCAGGGAGAGAGGAGCAGGAGTGGGGCGGTCAGTGCCCATCACAATGTTCTAGCTGGAAGGGGCCTGAAGGCCACACGTAAATGTTTTAACTTGTGGACTGGGCGAGTCCCTCCTCCTCTGGGCCTGGAGATGAGAGGGAAGCTGAGCCAGGTGCCCCTCCGATTGGCAGCCCAACTCACCTGACGGGTGCAGAGGTAACTGGGAGTCCCAGAGGCTCAGGACCTCAGCCCAGTGTTGGGGTCAGCCCCGGCCAGGCTGTGGTGAGCTGGGCAGTGACAGCCGCGCTCTGCTAGGTGGACGCGGGCCACCCTGCCTTCTCCAGCCCTCGGTCTCAGCCTTCCGTAAGCTCCGCAGCCCCCAATTCCTGAATGCTTGGGTCACAATCCAAGATCAGGCCTCCTTGTCCCTATCTTCACCCACCCCAAGCTGGGGCTGGCCCCACAACAAACGGCCACAGACACACGGCTCCGCCCCGGCACACGTGGCCTGGCCAGTTTTTCTCGTGAGTGTCCCCCGGGAGCAGAGGTTTTGGTGGGTCCAGGGCAGCTGAGTGTGGTTGTGGAGTTCCAGTGTGCAGAGTGTGACTGAGACGTGCTCAGTGGACGTTTGTAGGCATGTAACCAAACTCAGTGGGCTCCTTTCTTGCTGGGTGTGGAGCCAAAAAGCACAACCAAGGCAGAAGTGAGTGAAGAAAGGTTTGTTGCTCCACAAGCGATGGAGGGCACCTGGCATAGCTCCCAAGGCAGCGCCTCCCCGGCCCAGGGCTGCTGGAGACCACCCACAAGAGAGCAGGGGAGGACAGGGTTATTTGTAAGAACTGTGCTCCTTCAGGCACGTGCATAGCAGGTAGACACGCCACTGCATGCATCGCCCGATCTGAAAGTGGCTGCTGGGACCCTCGCAGAGGAGGAGAATTTAAGATGCTAATGAGTTTAAGGTAACTTCGAGATGTTACCTTAACATGGGATGCCTGGAGCTGGGACACTTTGCAGGGGTCTTGCTGCAAACGTGTGAGTTTCTCTGCAAGGTGGCAACATCTGCCAAACGGGGACAGCAGCTGCTGCAAACCAGGACACCTGGTTTCTTCCTGTCTGAAAAACATCTGATGGACCATGTTAGTTGTTGACCAGATCCTCAGTAACCGTTTCTTTGCCTGGTTCCCTGGTGACAGAAGGCGCTCAAAAGTGACTTTTAATGCTGACACCAAAAAGAGCGATCTTTGCTACAATATACAGACCTAAGCTTTTTCTTAGCACATTTGCAGAGCAAAAGTCAGCCCACTTGTGGTGTGCTGGTCTGCTTTCCTGAGCTTTCGCGTCCTCAGACGCACAGTCTCCTCCAGCCCCTCTTTCCTAAGAGAAGCTAAACCCAAACCAGGAAGTTTCACAAGGGGGCCTTGCAGAATCTGAAGACTTCCTCGTTCTGCAAAATTGCATCACTCTTCACAGAAGCACAGAAGTGTCAGAGTCTGAAAGGCCTCCCGGGCCCCTCACCCACTGTGGTGACACGTGGACCCCTCCGCGATGCTGAGCGAGCCCCGCGCCAGACACTCCGACCTGGCCTGGGGATGCACAAAGCTGGCATTGCCCTTCCACCCCGTGTCCACCCTCCAGGGCTCTGGATGGAGCTGCTGCCAGGGACAGAGGTGTTGAGCAGGGCCTGAGACCTGAGGCCTGCGTTCACGCCCTCTGGGACCCCAGGGTAGCAATGCGGCTCCATCCTCTGTGGCTGCTTGTCAAAGCCGATGTTTGGGACCCGATTCTAACTGGATGTTCCTCCTGCCTCCCCGCCGTGAATTTGCTAAAGAGAAAACACCAGGTGAAAAAGGCTTGGCTGGCCCTGGCGCAGACCTGCTCCCGGGTCCACACTGGCACTGCGGACACAAGTGGAGTCACTTGCCCGTTACTGCAGAAGCTGGAGTTGTGCACTTCCTGGGGAACCCCATCCTTTCCAATGTCCAAACATCCAGACAGAAAGTCTGAGCCCTGCCCCTGGTCAAGCTGTCCCACATCCTCACCCAGAAAGGGAGTCGCTCGGGCAGGAAGACCTGCCCTAGGCGACACAGGTGGGTGCCCTGCCCCTCAGCCAGGTCAACGGCCCTTCTGCCAGTGCTGCCCACCTTGGGGTCGGGAAACTGCGTGGCCTGCTGGAGCCGCATCAAGGATGGGCCACCATAGGCCACGGGCCTCAGCGCTGAGGGAGCTGGTGCCGGCCAGGACCCCGTCTGAGCTCTCGGCTTAGCTCAGCTGCCGTCCATCCGGGGGAAGCCTTGCCTGACGAAGGAAGCTGGGTGGGACGCCCCACCAGCCCCAGCTCGAGCCACCGTGCTCCAGGAACTGCCCTCTGTCCCTCGGGTCACCCTGGTAGCCTCCACAGCCCCCCATGTTCTCAGCGGCCGTGCAGCGTGGCCCATGGGGTCCTGAGAGCTGAGGGTCTGCATTGGGCCCAGGCATGCGTTGGGGCTCGTGGGGAAGTCCAGCCACTGTGTGCTGACCACGCCCACCTCCTGGGCCCCCGAGTCCTCAGCTGGAAAACGGGGATCGAGTGGTCACCCTGAAGGTTGGTGGAGGGCAGGGGCTGCTGGGCCATGGCAGACCTCTGCTGGCCCTCGTCTCTCCTCTCCTTCCTTCCCCAGGCCCCACGCGCCTCCTCTGCGGCTCCTGTCCGTGGAAGGATCCCAGAGGTGGACTCCAGGGGAGGAGCCCTGAGCGGGGCGGAGAACTGGGGCACAGGCTGAGGGGCTTGGTGTGGCTGGTGGCTGAGGCTGGGTGGCAGGGTGGCCTGGGGGAGCGCGCATGGCCTTGGGGAGCATCAGTTTTGCTCGTTGGGTCTGTGATGCCCTCTCTGCCTGGCAGGGCCTGTGGTCCTGAGCTGCATGGGATAAACTGAGAGGGGCTTGAGGCCGTGGTACACCCCGGGTCCCCCCGGGGGTGGGGGTCTCGAGACAGAGGAGGAGCTGACTCCGTGTCACCCAGGGTTTCCAGGTGGCAGTGCTGGCGCCACAGTGGTGGGCCGGGGGTTGCGGTGCACAGACGCCACACAACTGGGAGGCACAGGCCAAAATCTGGGCCGAGACGTCAGTATTGGCGAGCCCGGGCGGCTGTGCCACACACTAGGTGACCTAAACCACAGACGTATTCCCTCTCATCCTGAGGCCTGCCTCCTGGAGTGCAGACGCCTTGTCCTTCCTGTGTCCCCATCTCCTCTTCTTCCAAGGACCCGAGTCACACTGGATTAGAACCCACCCTAATGGCCTCGTTTTAACTTAGTCGCCTCTTTAAAGGCCCCGTCTCCAGACGCGGTCACGTTCTGAGCTGCCGGGGGTCAGGACTTCAGCCTCTGAATTTTGAGGGACACGGTTCAGCCTGTAACAGCCTCCAGTGCACAAGCCCCACCTGAGCCCTTTCTGGCCCCCGACCCGTACACCTCTTTCTCTTTAAAGCCACAGACTTTGTGTTAAACAGATTTCCAGCTTATGTTGTTCAGACTTTTGTTAGGGAAGTTTTGGACACACACAAGTAGAGATAACGGTACAAGGAGCCAACCGCCCCCCCAGCCTGGAGCAGCTTCAACCTTGCGCTGTTCCTGTTTCATCTGTCATTCCCTCCCCGCACCCCCAACATGCTCTTCTTTTTTCTGGAATATCAGCAAATCCCAGATCTCATTTTATTTTGCTCAGAAATACTAATGTTAACTTCATTTTAAGTGTCCTTCTTTTAAACAGAAAACAATGTCTCTGGGCCTCAGTTTCCCCATCCGTGCAGGTGGAGGTTGAGATAGGCACTTGCAGTGGCCATTCCAGCTCTGACACCCCAGAGAAGGCCATATGCATCTTTGGCATTTCTTAAAATCTTCTTAAGTTTGTGGTGAACCAGCTGTGTTTTCTATGCCAGCAGCAAGGAGCCACCTGGGCCCCTGCTGGGACCCCAGCCCCCAGAGAGGAAATGTGGGTGGGCTGGGGCCTTTCAAAACACAGGAAGTGATTTCATCTTACTGCAAGGGGTATTTCCAGGACGAGAGCCAGGGTGACACGAAACGGCAAAACCAGGCAGGACTCCTGTGCGTTGATGGGGCCCAGGGCCCAGGAGCAGATCCTAACCCCACTTCACAGGAGAGGACACCAAGGCCCGTGGAGTCTCACGGCTGATGAGGGGCGGGGCAGGGGAAACTGAGGCGGGGCTGGGTGGCCCTGCTGAGCCCCCACCCCAGCCTCACACTGCCTGTCGGTGCCCCCTCCCACCTGCCTCCTGCTCAGTTTCCGAGCCCTTGCACCAAGTGGGGCTGGGGGCCTGGACACAACTGAGGTCACTGTGGCCTGGGGACAGGCGCCTGGGAGCAGGCCATGCAGGTACCCCCGCCCAGCTCTCAAGCTGCTGTCCACAGTGCAAAGGGCACCTGGTCCCAGGGGTCCGGGCAGCACGGGGCGGGGGGCTCGAGGAGGGTCGGGGCTGGTCACGTTCTACGTGTTCATTGATTTTTTTTTTCTCTTTCACAAACCGTTCTTGGTGAGCAATTGAGAAAACCCAGGTGAGAGAGTCAGACAAGCATTTACCCCAGCCCCAAACAGCCAATAGGGGCATCTGGGTGTGCTTCCGTCCAGGCTTTTCTCCGTGCTTATAAACATCCTTTTGGTATAAACATTCGAGGCTGCTGTATGTGATTTGCAGCGGGCTCTTTTCCGTTAGCAACATAACGCGACGCCTTTAAACAGTCTCCCAGCACGTCAGCTGTGCCGTTCATACAACCCGTTCCCGAGTCTGGGACAGCGTAAGATTTTTTAAAAATTTTAAGCATCCTAACTATAAAGGGAATAAATACTCTTTTAAAGGAAACTAAAGTGATAGAGTAAAATGGAAACCCCTCTCTGCCGCCCTCCCACCCCCCAATTCCTCTTCGCTGCGAGTTTCCATGGAGTTCTTGCAAATCTTTTTGAGAAATCTTGTACAAAACAGCTTGTTTAGCCTGAAAGCAGTTTGAAGTGTCCTTTGACTGTCTGTGAACACAAACCGTGTTGAGTTCACGACTTCCTGTTGTGGCTCCTGTCGACTCAGCACCCCCCTCCTGTGTGGGAAGGTCAGATGGCGTCACAGGAGCCCTGACAGCCCCAGAGAGTCTGTCACACGGGCGTGAGATGGGCCCCTGCACGCCCCTGAGTGCTTGGCAGGCACGGGTGCCATCCAGTCCCTGTCTGGGCATCTGTGCAGTTCAGCAGCCGTCGCCCCCAGCTCTGGCCGCCATCCTTTCAGTCGCACCAGGTCAAGTCACTGGCACAGAGGTCCGAATCCACTTAGAGTCTCAGCCCACGTGACAGCAGGGCGGCCTCTGGGGAGCACGCTGGGCAGGGGCCGTGGCTGATGCGGCTCCTGCCTCGCCCCCTTCGGCACGTGTGGCGTTTTTGCCCGGCGTGTGCCTTGTGTCTCTCACAGAGCTGCCCGTCCGCCTGTGCTGGGAGCTGACGGCAGCCGTTTGCCCCCTGTAGCTCGAGCCCAGGAGAGCGTCCTCTAAGACCAGGCGTGACAAGGAGAAGCCGGGCTGCAGGAGCTGCGGCGAGACCTTCAACTCCATCACCAAGAGGAAGCACCACTGCAAGCTGTGCGGGGCTGTGAGTCCAGGCGGGAGGCGGTGGTGGCTGGGCCTCGGGGTGCTTGGTGGCTCCTCCTGGGCCTCTTTCCGTGGGTGCAGACCCTGCACCCCAGACCCTCCAGGCAAGGAGGCGGGTCCTGGAGGCCCACTGGGGGCCAGCCTCGGGGTCTCTGCCCTCCGACGAGGCTCCGGGCCCCACGGCTCTCTGCGCACTGTCCCATCTCTCCTGGCCCTGCAGCCTCCCAGCCTCTCCCTGGCGGAGTCTTCTGGCTACGGGAGGCGGGGTCACAGGTGCCCTCTGTCCTGCAGGTCATCTGTGGGAAGTGCTCTGAGTTCAAGGCCGAGAACGGCAGGCAGAGCCGTGTCTGCCGACAGTGTTTCCTGACTCAGCCGGTGGCCACCGTGAGCCCCAGCCCTGAGGAGCCTGTGGAGCCCAAGCAGGGCATGGAGGTGGGTGAGCTGCATCCCAAGACACAAGCCGCCATCCCCAGCAGGCTTAGCAGACGGTGCTCCCAGGGCTGTCGGCTTCCCTGGGCCCAGGACTGACAGGGTTCGGGGGGCCCACCGGCCCTGGGGCAGCCGAGAACTGAACGCAGAATATCACATGCATGCTTGTCGGGCCTCTCAGGATTGCATGTATGCTTGTCAGGCCTCTCAGGATCGCGTGTGTGCAGGTCGGGCCTCTCAGGATCCTGTGCATGCTTGTCAGGCCTCTCGGGATCCAGGCACAGCGAGGGCTTGGGATCCATTTGCACCTGGGAGTTAGTGCCTCAGTTGGCTCAGCTGTGTAACAAACACCACAGATGGGGCCGCTTAAGCAGCAGAAATTTATTATCTCACCGCCCTGGGGGCTGGAAGTCCAAGATTAGGGTGTGGGCAGGGCTGGTTCCCCTTGAGGCCTCTCTCCTGGACATGCAGGTGGCCGTCTCCTCCTGTGTCCTCAGGTGATCGCCCGCCTGTGCGTGTCTGTGGCGTAACCTCCTCCTCTTATGCGCACTCAGGTCACACTGCGTTAGAACCCACCCTGATGGCCTCTTTTAACTTAATCAACTCCGCAGAGGCCCATCTCCAAGCACAGTCACATGGGAGTTAGGGCTTCAACACACGAATTCAGGGGTGCACGCTTCAGCCCATGGCAATGGGAGCAAGCGTTGTCTTCACGCATGGTCACCCTGATTGGAGGCCTGGAGGCCTCGGTGAGGGGAGGGGCTGCCCAGGCCTTGCTGAGCCTCGGGACGGTGGGGGAGCACCAGCTGCCTCCAAGCCCCTGCCTTCCTTCAAGGGCACAGTCCCTATTTGATGGGGGGGCAGGACAGCGGGAAAAGAGAGAACGGGGCTTTCCGAAAAAGTGCAGAGGTATGTGTGTGAGTGTGTGTTGTGTCTGTAAGTGCATGGTGTGTGTATGTGGGGTGTGTGTAAGTGTGTGATGTGTATGTGAGTGTGTATGTCTGTATGTGGTGTGTGCATGTGTGTGAGTGCTTATGTGTACGTGTGTGTGTGTAAGTGCATCATGTATGTGTGTGAGTGCACATGTAGTGCGTAGTATCCGTGTACAGCTGAGTCACACCCAACCCTTCCCCTGTGAGCCACACTCTGGTTCCTGCTGTTCCCTTTTTCCAGTTTTATCTTTATTTTCAGCCTGACCCCGTGGTCTCACTCCTCTAGAGGGTCTGGCCCGTTACCAGGCAGCCTTGCAGTGACCCTGGGGAGGGTCAGGCTGGCCCAGGCCCTTGTCTATCCGTCTCCCTGTCCCCCCTCTGTCCCTGGAGCCCTGGTGCTGGTGCAGCCCCATGGGAGGGACACCCGCTGGCAGCGAGGCTTCCCTGACCTGTCCTCTGTGTCCCCAGAAGCCAGCCACTGCGGACCCCCTGCCCAACCTGTTCTGCGGCCCCCTGCGGGTGTCAGACTGCGGCTCAGCCTGGAGCGAGGTGTGGGCTGCCATCCCCGCGTCGGATCCCCTGGAGCTGGTGCTGCACCCACAGGGAGGCAGCCAGGTGTGTCCCCTGCCTGCCGCCCACACTGGGCCCGCCCTGCTCCTGGAGCCCAGAGCCCCCAGCCCGTGGCGCCCTGAGGGTGGGGCCGGGCCGCTGGGGTGACCCTGCCTGGAGGGTGGCTCACATGACCCTGGGGCCCAGTCTCCCCTGCCGCCCAGAACCAGCGCCATGCGGCCCACTCATGGGACATGGGGTCAGTGATGCCAGGACTCCGGAGGCAGGGTGCTGACTCCCTCTCCTTCGCTGCAGGACGGCCAGCCACTCCGTGCCATCCCCCTCTCCGGCTGCACGGTGAGCGTGCTGGACCCCGCAGAGAAGCCAGAGGCTGGGCACGTGTGGCGGTTGCACCAGGCCCAGCGGTCCTTGTACCTGAGCACCTCGTCCGAAGAGCTGCAGCAGCAGTGGCTGGAAGCCCTGAGCACAGCCGCCCTTGGGGACTTGGCCCGGGCCAGCCGGGGAGCCCTGCAACCCCAGACCCCGTGAGCTGAGTCTCGGCTGTGTCTCCAGCTCTGCGGCCACCACGGCAGGGCCTGTGCTCACCTGGGAGATGGCGTTGGAGGCCACGTGCTTGCGTGAAAGGCACTGGGACTGCTGAGGAGCTGACAGGTCACAGGGCACTTGGCCCTGGAGGGTCCCTCTGCTTCAGAGAGGAGGAAACTGAGGCCCAGAGATGGGTGGCCAACTGCCCAGGGTCACCCAGCACACTCCCAAGAAGCGCCTGGCCTCTGCCCCAGCCCCAGCAGAGTGGCCTGGAGTGGGGCGTGGGCGAGTGTCGTGAGTGGCCCTGCGGGGGCACTCGGCTCTTAAGGGCAAGAGAAGCATCCTGGGCGGTGCCCGGGGACACTTGGTAAAGGCTACAGTCATGCTGGCCCTCCACACTGCTGCCCGCCTGTCCACACTGTCTACACTGTCTGCACCGTGTGAGCTGGATGGAACTGGCCCTGGGACTCCACCCCACCTCCTCCATCCCATGCGGAGCAGCCCCTGGAGGAGGGAGCCGTAGGCCTGGGCGATTCATACGGGGCTCGAGGTTCCTGAATAACCTCTCTGCGAAACTGGACGGGAGGCCCACCCTGGGTCGTGTAGTGCCTGTCTCCCCTGGTGGGCGGCGGGCAGCAGGCGGCAGGCGGTGCTTGTCTGCGTAAATAAATGCTGGCAGCCAGCAAGTGGGCACAGCCTCAGGCCATCACCCCCGGGTCCCGCTGGTGGTCGAGTGGGATACGAGAGTGACAGACAGGCACAGCCGGCAGTGGGGCCCTGGACCCCAACCCAGGCTTGCAGCGTGCAAGTCCTACCCCGTGGGGGCCCCAGGACTTAGGGGCATCGGACAGCTGGGCCTCGGGCCAGGTGCTATGCCTGCCAGCCTGCTCTATGGATGGGCATGTGCCATGTGGCAGGTGGGGTCAGGCCCAGAGACGCTGTCACAAAGTCTTAGGAAGGTCGGGGTCAGGGTGGGGGATGCTGTTTGGGCCAGAGCCACAAGGGCCTTGGGAGAGAGCAGAGGGATTAGGGACTGATGACCAAGGACTGTCCATCCCTCGGGACCCCCATCCTTCTAACATCCACACAGCACCCTGTGGGGACACCTGTCACTGCCCAGCTGTGGGCAGACTTGCAGGGCACCAGCGTGGGAGCCAGAACTGGGCGACCAGTCACGGGCGAAGTTGGGGCAGGGCCCAGGTGAGGTGGGCGGGGTATAGGTGAGCTTATGCAGGAGCCAGTGCCACCCCCACCCCCATGTATTCACTCACCGGCCTGTGTCTGGATGCTGCCTCAGTAGGATACCTGCTGTTGACCTGGGCCCCCACCATCTGAGAGCTCACCACCTTGCAGTGGGTGTTCTGGCTCCAGTTCACACCAGGAAACAGGCTCATGAGGCAAAGTGACTTGCCCAGTGGGAGGGGAGGCTGCCCTTTCCACGGCTCAGGGCCCTGGCGGGGTTCCTGCCCCATGCCCACGGGGCCTGGGCAGGGCCAGCAGGTGGCTGAGGCAGTGAAGGCACCTGGGGTCCAGCTGGCCCCTCCTCCTGCCCCTTCCATCCGTGAGCTCTGCTCTCTCTGCCTCACACCTTGACTGAGTGCCCACTACCTACAGGGGGACGGCTCCTTGGCGCTGCCTCTGTCCCCTAATACTCCAGTATCACCACAACCCCAGGATGTTCCCATTTGACAGCTGAAGAAACTGAGTCACAGAGAGGAGGCCCCCAAGTCCCACAACTCCAGACTGAGCAGGCAGCTGGAATTGACTCTCTGGGCATGGCATCACTCGGCTGGGGTCTGCGGGGGCGAGACTGGGCCCCCACCTGAGATCCTCCCCCAGGGTCCTCACCTGGGGTCCCCACGGATGGTCCCCAGCGAGCTCTCTGTGGGCTGGGGCAGACCCGGCCCTCTCCTCTCCCGCCCTCCAGCCTGGGGGCCCTGTCCTCGCAGCAGGCTTCTGCGTGAGCTCCCGAGGGTTCTTTCCTCCCTCAGCACACCTGAGGGCGGGCGAGGTGGGTACCCTGCCCCCAGCAGCTCGAGGGCCACCAGAACGCTGTGTTCCCTCTCGTCTATCAGAGTGTCCCGGGCCAGCCTCGAAGGTGGAGGCAGGAGTGTCCCCAGGGGCTGTGACTGCATCAGGACCAGGAAAAATGCCCGTGCTGCCAACTTCGATCGGTGCTGGGCCCTGCCGACGCAGAGGGAAGGAAATGCCCCATGTGGAGCCCCATTCCCATGTGGAGACACTGAGAATGGAACCTGGTTTTGGAGCAACAGAGGCAGGAAGAGGAGTGGGGCACGGCAGGGGCAGGGGGTCCCTGGGAGCCCCCCAGGGGAGGGGTGGCAGGAAGAGCCCCCAGGCTGAGAGCACGGCCACCAAGGCCCGCAGGGGCCAGTGGGGCTCATTGGGGAGCCGGGGAGGCGGGGCTGGTCGTGGGGCCTCCACAGGCCTCCTCTGGCGCTGCTCTGGGAGGCGGGAGCCACGGGGCAGGCTTGGGGGTCTTAACATCCCGCTGGACGCAATGGAATCATAGGGGTCGAGATGGAGGCATGGCCTTGCATCCTCAGCGGGTCTTGACGCAGACCCCTGCGATGGGCACGCCAGAGGCCGGTGGCCCCGGCAACGTGAAGCCTCCACCACTGTCCCCAGGCAGGCACGGACCCGTGTACCCAGCTTTCCGGAGGTGAAAGAGGTCAGATGTTCTCGTGCAATATCCTGGTAAATGTTAGTAACCACTCTGGAGTCTGAAGTCACCCCAAGGCGGGTCTGCCCCAGGGACCCCTTCTGCTCCCTCTGGGCACCCCGGGGAGGGCGCTGGGAAGCAGGCTGCCCATACCGGGGCCTCTACACCACGTGTCTGGGGGCTCTTTGGGCCTGGGCTCCTTCCCACCCCCACACTGCCCACCCTGTCCGCCATCATCCTGCCTGGAAGCCTGGAGCCTGGGCACGCTCTACTACCCATCCACAGAGGATAGAGGCCAGATGCTCGCTGGCCTTCAGCCTCTCCGCTGTCCTCCCGCCCCATCCTGTGCCTCCTCCTCACCAAGTCCAGCCCCCACCCTACAGGCACAGGAGGCCATCCCTTGGACAGGAGGAGAAAGGAGGCCAGTGGGCTGGGCGGGAGGTGGCCCCGGGGGTCTCTGGGGTCCTGAAGAACGCCGGATGGGGCAGGACAGGGTGTGAGATGCCCAATCGCTGCAGGAGTCCAGGGCCTGAGCCAGGGTCTTTTGTGCCCCAGAGACTGCTGCTGGCCCAGCCTCCTGGCTGGGGTTCCTGGTTCCAGGCGCAGGGGCTGCAGTTGAGCGTGGTGCGTACCTGAGCAGCAACGTGCCCACAGGAACAAGGGCAGAAGAGAAAAGAGAAACGGGAGGCCAGCGAACGACACTCTGAGGGGCTCCAAGTGGTCCCAAGGCAGCCAGGCTGCTCTCTCTCATGCCTCCTCTCTCTCTGCTCTGCTCCCCCATTTACGAGGGAGGAAACTGGAGGCCATAGGAGCTGGGTGGGCCTGGGGCAGACTGTGGGGAGCAGCCAGGTGTCCACCCCACATTCTGCACATTCCGTCCTGGAAAGCCAGCCTCCCCTAGCGTCTGGTCACAGGGCCCTCCTGGGCCGGCCCCATTGACCCTATGGACTCTGGGCTGGGTGCCCTGCTCACAGGTGTGAAGCTCTGATGGAGGCCTGATGCCCCAGAAAGGCATGTTCCACAGCTCCACGGCCTGTGGGTTCCTCCCCTTGCAGCACAAGTGTGCCCAGCCCCCTGTGAGGAGTGTCCCAGGGGTCCCTGGGGACGGTGGCACACCCATGCTGCTCCCTCAGCCCTGTGTCACCCTCCCAATGGCCCCAAGCTGGACCAGCAGGGTGAAAGACACGAGGCCATGCCAGGGGACTCTCTGCCAAGGAGAAGAGCTGGTGGCTGTGGTGGGTCACCTGAGCCCGAGATCCTGGAAAGGGAAGGGACTCGCCTCGGCCTCCTGCAGCACAGGCTCGCCGATAGCACTCGCGCTCCCTTGGCCAGGAGGGAACAGGACGGCCGTGTGGGCCAAAGTGGCCCTCAGCTGCAGGTGGCGGAGCGAGCCGGCCGTCCTGGAACCAGAAGGAAGGGCCCCCGGGGGGGTGGGAACAGGATGGGTGAACAGCAGCTGGAGGAGGCCGTCTGACTCCACCTGAGCGGCCTGAGAGAGAAAGTCCACGTGGAGTCGATGTCCTGCTCCAGGCCGCCCTGCCCACCCCACAGCCCATCTACAGGAGCCAGCCTGCACCCCAAACGCCCTGCCTTGGCCCTGTCTCCTTATGGGAATCCAGGCTGCATGTCCCTGAGAGGGACAGGACCCTCTTCCTGTCAGGGCCAGGCCTGCCCTGGGAGCCTGCGCTTCAGCACTCCAGCTCTGCCTGCCGTCACCGCCCACGCCACCCACCGCACGCCACCCACCGCCTGCCGTGCATCTCGGTCCCCAACAGGAGCTCTGCTTCCCTGTGCCCTACCAGGATGCAGAGAGCCAATTACACCCCAAACAGCATCTGCCCTCAAATGGGAATCAGAAAACTGCTGACAGCCGAGCAGCCCAACCTCTTCCAGGAAGAACAGTGTCAGGGTCATTGCCAAGGCACCCACTTCCCGGTGGGGGGAGGGCCATTCGCGGGGACAGGCCCTGAGCCCAGAGCCCCATAACACCTCTCCTCTGTCCTCCCAAAATCCGGGGGAGTGTGGCCTGCAGACACCCAAGAAGAGGTCGGGACGACCTGGTCCAGTGCCTGGCCCCCACGTCGCCCTCCAGTTTGCTGAGGCTTCTCTCACTGAAAGGCGAGGTCTGTCTGTGCCCCTTGAACCTGAGCTCCATGCCGTGGGATGGGGAGAACACAGCAGAAGGGACATCCGGGCCACGGCCTCGAGAAGCGGGCAGCCTCCGCTTCCTGTCTTCGGGATGCCAGCGACATGCGGCATAAAGGCTCTGGCAAGCCTGGGGATGGGCATCGACGCCCTGCAATGAGTGCTCTAGGCGAGGCCTCGCCCGGAGCAGAGCCCAGGCCCGAGCCGGCCCAGACGGAGTCACAGGCAGGAGACCCGACTGTCGCTGTTGGAAGCACACCTGCTGTCGGGGGGGACATGTGGGAGCCCTGGCCCGTTGGTGCCTCTGCTGGCCATGGCGACTGGCCCAGGGATGAGCATGTGGTCCAGCGGGTCCCTGGGAGGGGTGCTGGACGACAGGAGGACCACGCCCCTGCCCTGGGACCCTCGGCCACAAGGCCTTCCTGAGAACTCTGAGCTGCCAGCAGCCGTACCCCCGGTTTACGCTGGGCTTCTGTCCCTAGCAGATGACAAAGGGAGCCACTTAGCAAACCTGTGACTCACGGGCCTGAGTCTCAGTTTCTCGCTGTAAATGGGGACAACTGAGCACTCAGGATAATTACTGCAGGGGCGCAGCTGTCAGCACAGGGAGCGAGGGGCCCAGGGCAGACCCGATCCGTGCTCTGCTGTCCTGCAGACTCCAGCCTCCAGCTGCGGCACGAAACCCCTCCTCCAGCCCCCACCGTGGGCCTCACGCGCTGGACATGCCGTCCTTCCTGCAGCCCTGGTAGGAGTGTCGTGTGCCCACTGTCGACGAAAATAATCCATAACCAATCTATAAATGAAAATTTGGGTGAGTTTATTCTGAGCTGAAATCTGAGGACCATGGCCCGGGGCCTTTCTTCCCGAAGGAAGAAAGGGCACCG